GTGACTGGTGAGACTTGATTTTAACTTTGTTCTAACAACCATTGTAAATAATCTTATATTATTATAGTATTTTAATGTAAGCACTTTGTACTTCACTTTATGTGCGAATTTGTGCTATTAAACATCATCTTATCTTATCTTATCTTATAATAACATACCTAACATCAGTGCTGTTACAGTTACATTTTATTTGTAACTAGTTACAGTTACAGTTACGTTGCCAGAAATGTAACTAGTTACCCCGCTACAAGTTACAGAAGGCAAATTGTAACTAGTTACAGTTACAAAGTTACAATATATTTTTTGTAACTAAGTTACAAGTTACAAGTTACATTTTATATTGATTAAAATTATAATTTAGACTGACTGAGTTACTCACTGACTTTACTGTATTTTCACCCAATTATACAATACAGCAAATTTTTCAAAACTAGCTTTGTACTGAATGCAGCAACCATACAATACAGTCAGAACCGATTTAAACAAATTCTTTATTCACAAATCACAAGATTGCAAATTTCAAAGTTTCCAACTGTCATACTTAGCATATATTTATCTTTGACATATAAAATTTGTATCTATCACATCTTCAAAGAAAGTCTTTATTACATTTCACTAGGATGTAATTTTCAAAATTTGTATCCGTCATGCTTGAGCGATGTGGCCTGAAGATCAATCCACCAGCACTAAAAAGTCTTTCACAAGCAGCACTGGCTGGCAATGGTGTGTTGAGCTCAATAAAGAGTTTGCGAAGCAAGGAACATCTTGCATAATCACAAAGTTTTTCAACAGGACTCTCAAGAAATTACTTTAAATGACTGTGATCTCCTGTTCTTAGCTTGGAAGAAATCTGCCTCATCTTGATCCTCTGAAGAGGACTGTCCAGGTTCATCAACCACTGGTTCTACCGAACCCTCTAATTTCTCATTTATGAAGGAAATGCCTAAAATTTATAAACAAATCCCACAAGTTTAAATAAATCCATGCTGTCTATAATGGGAATACTTACTAATTCACTTCATATTCAAGTTGTATTGTATTTGTTACCTCTTTCAATAACATCACAATCACTAGACCAGCTTTCTTTAAATTTGGGGTGAAGAATTGCTGCAGCAGCAATCTTTTTGTCATTTAGTATTGAATCAAATCGCTTATCAATTCCATTTAATAATTCTTGTACCAATGGTTTCGTAACTGGAATATCCAACTTCTTTGAAAGCTTATCTCGCAGTATAGTTATCGTTGGTGCTAGATAACCCATGTAGGCATTCGAGTGGTTTGTTTCTCCCTGTAAAATGTTAAGTGCTTGAGCTACTGGTTTCATCACTTGAGCATAATGATTAAGGAATGAAATTTCTGCAGGTTTAAATCTAAACAGAAACAAATACACTTAGCTAGCTCACTAAATTCAACTATGTCATATGCTGAGTGTTTAGTGTATATGTTCATAAATCATAATTTCAGTCAACCATCCCATGCACAAAGTTACAATTATAAAGTATACTGTACTTAGGAACATCTGCCAGGGAGCAGACA